CTTTCCACCTATTAAGCAGATAAAGTCTTCCAAAGAACAAATGGCTAATAAATAAATGGAATGTTCAGTATCCCTTGTCAAAAAACTGAAATTAAAACTACCCTGAGATTCTAAGAATAAATACTGGTAAGGATGAGGAAGGAAAAGAAATCCTAATACACTATTGGTGCGAACGTAAGTTAAAATAGTGAACCTCAACATGGAAGTTCATAAAAAACTGAAAGGAGATCCACCTTACAAACCTGCTGTACAAGTATGTATCTGCTTTAGTATACATCCAAGGGAGTGTAGATCAACATACAAGAGTGATACCCACACATCATGTTAATCACAGCATTCTTCACAATAGCTGAGTTGTGGAATCACCCCAAATGTCCAACAACTGAGGAATGGATAAAAAAAATGTGGTATATATACACTATGGAGTGTTGTTCACCTATAGTGAAGAATAAAAATGTGGTAAATATACACTATAGAGTGTTGTTCAGCTATAGTGAAGAATAAAAATGTTGTACTTATACACCATGGAGTATTGTTCAGCTATAGTGAAGAATAAAATGATGGTGTTTGCAGGAAAATGGATGGAACTGGGAAGCCAAACTCAAAACTCCAAATTTCATCTATATATCCTATACATGGAATTTAGACCTAAAATGATGGTGCTGATTAATAGTCATAATAACATTATTAGTAATAATAGTAATGACAATGGGACAGGACTGCCATGGTAAGGAAATTAGCAGGAGCGGGGAAGAAAGGAGAAGGGACTAGGGGTAGTGAGGAGGATTCAATGTGAATATGTATATCTATCTATATTTACAAATCCATACACATATACACCTATATATAAAGACAGTAGAGTGAAACCCACCAAACACTGTTTGTAAAAGAGGTGAGGAAGGGGGCTGGGAAGGTGGCTCAGCGGTAGAGCGCTTGCCTTGCATGCATGAGGCCCTGGGTTCGATTCCTCAGCACCACATAAGCAAAAAGAAAAAAGCCGGAAGTGGCGCTGTGGCTCAAGTGGTAGAGCGTTAGCCTTGAGCTGAAGAGCTGAGGGACAGTGCCCAGGCCCAGAGTTCAGGCCCCATGACCGGACCCAAAAAAAAAAAAAAAAAAAAAAGAAAAAAAGAGGTGAGGAAGAAGGGCTAAGGGAACATACTAAAAAGTGTGAACTTGCTGAAAGCACATTGTATGCATTTAGGGAATTATTATTAAATCTCTTTGTGTTAATGTATGTTAACATAAAAGTGGGAAGCTACCAGAAAAGAGTAGCTACCCACTTTCATAGATAATTTTCACAATTGCATTACCCTTGTCTTGTCTGTGACCGAGACGTTGACTGACTTGCTTGAGAATGGACTTGTGGACTTTTAGCACTCCAGGATTGGGTCAGGTGCCTCAGGCTCTACTACAGTTTGGCCTGTCAAATGCAGACTCCATACGGGCTTGGAACTTCTTGCTCACTGTTATCTCTTTTCCTTCCATGCATCAAGGACATAGACAGTGCTACCCCAAAATACCATTTGGTGAAAGAATGAATAAAGGCAAATCTTATATCTATTGGGCTACTTTGAAAATGTTCTTCCTTATGACTTACATGTGTATCAGCTATCTTCCACTACTAGAAAAAATGTCTATGGATTTCAGACAATTGTGTTTCGCTACTACTGGATTCCCAATGCGTAGGACAGTGCTTGGACAGCCTGTGTCAGTAGTGGTATCTGTTAGTGAAAATGTGGAAAGGTAGACTTCTTCTGCCAGCCATCATCACCCTGTCTTTTTGTGACATCACTGCTATGGATTTTCTCTTGCAGATCTCAGTAACAATCATAACTTGTGAGGTGGGTGTGCGTTGAATCTCTAGCTTCTTGAATGACACATCCCCTTGCAGCTGACACACTCAGAAGGGCAACCGCAGAATACTGTCTCCAAGACACCTGGCAGCGGGAAGGAGGTCAGTGCAACATGGCCCTGTGCAACACAACAGCAAGGTGACAACTGGAGACCAAGGTGCTGCTGGGTTCCATGTCACACTCGCAGTAGCTTTGTTTTCTAGGAGATAATGTCTCTTGCTAGGCGCCTTCTATTTCTAACTTATTTCTCTTTCCTCTTGTTATTAGTGACAAGGTAGCAATCATAGTTATATGTAGGAAAATTGGAATAAGTGGGAAAAGGCACCATCCAAACACAAGGATGGGTAGAATTCTGTGTGTATTGCCTTCCTCTCTTTCTCCAAGAGTATGTTGTCTATATTGACCTAACTAGTTGGTACTCTGCCTTTTCCCTTAATGCTGTATTATGCTTGTAACATAGATCTTTCCTTGTTACTAGACTTCATAAACATCTATTTAAATTTATTGCAGCATACTTATGGATTTTTCAAACATATTCATTTTACTGTTACATAATTTGAAAAGTCACCGAGTTTGATAAACAAGAAAAGCAAGTAATTTAATATCTCTTAGATGTTAGAATTAGAAAAACAAAGCTTCACTAAAAATATATGGATGACAAGTATATGAAAAAAATGACTAACATCACTAGTCACTGCATTGTCAAGGAAACATAAATTAAGCAATACTACAGACCTACTAAAACAGGAGCATTAAAAAAACCAAAACAACTAACAATAGGCCAAGGGCTGATAGCTCATGCCTTGTACTCCTAGTTTCTCAGGAGGCTGAGATCTCAGGATCACGGTTCAAAACCAGCCTGTGCAGCAAAGTCTGTGAGAGCCTTATCTCCATCTAAACATCAAAAAAGCTGGAAGTGGAAGTTGGCTCAAGTGGTAGAGTGCTAGCTTTGATCACAAAAGCTCAGGGACAGTGCCCAGGCTCTGAGTTCAAGCTCCAAGATCAACATGCTCACCAGCATGCAAGCATGCGCATGCACAAGCGCGCACTCACACACACACACACACACACAAGACTAATAATAAATAACTGCTGACAAGGAGGTAGAACATCTAGAATTCCTTACATTGCCATGGGACTGCAAAATTGTAGCCACTTAGAAAGTAGTTATTTAGTTTCATGTAAAATTAAACATGTACTTGCTGTACAACTCAGTAATGCCAACCCTAGCTTTATCTAAGAGAATAGGCAAATGTTTATAGCAGCTTTATTCATATAGCCCCAACATTAAAAGACCAAAGTATCTATCATCTAGTGAATGAATATACAGTTGTGGTCTATCCATACAAAGAGATACTACTGAGCAATAAAGAGCAAAAAAGTGCTGACAAATGGAACAACACACACACAAATCATAAACCATGATGCTGTACAAAAGAAACCAAACACAAGGCTCACTTCTTTTTAAAAAATTATATTTACTAATCCATATTAATTGTACAAAGTACAGTAATGGATTTCACAGTGACATTTCCAGACTACTCATGACATTTCTGACACCCAACGAGCTGGGTTTCCAATATGAACGATCACCCACCAGCCTTCTACTACTAACTACCATAGTATCAAACTTCACAGGTTCAAGGACCTGGGCCCACAGACACCAAGTTGCAGGCTGCCCTGCAGTTGATCAGCTAGCTATAAACTAGGCATTTCCATGGCTCTTTTTAATTTGATGATTTGCTGTAACAACTCATAGAAATCGGGAAATCACCTCATGTACATTTAATGGTTTATTATAGATAATACAACCCAAGAGTAGGCACATAGAAGATATGCTAGGGCAAGGCACAGGTTAATGGCATGGAATAAGAGGTACTAGGTTGCATGTTATTTTTTGGCACCAGCAAGCCCACCAAACACTGTAGCTTGGCAGCTTTATGGTTCTTTCATGACGTAGGCCTAACATTAAATCATTAGCCTTAGTGTTTGAACTCAAACTCTAGTTCCTTACCATCTCCAGAACTGAGGGGGTGGAACTCAAAGTTCTAGCCTTGCCAAACACCTCTAGATCATAATAGAGACCAGACCCCCCCTGAAGCCAACTAAAGGCTCTATCCACAAGTCATCTTATTAGTATTCAAAAGACACTGTGAAGACCCTAAGGGTTTTAGGACCTGTGTGCCTAGAACTGGGGAAAAAGACCAAATAATTTATATCCTCTTAGCCACTAAATGATCTCATTTATTCCATGTTGGAAGAGACAAACTAATAGTGTTAGGAATTTTAGAGCTACAGGTTGGTAGAAGAATTGACCAAGAAGAGTAAAAAATGGTTTATTAGGTTGCTGTTCAAGGAAAACCAGCAGGCAGGCAAGCACAAGGGGTATGTTGCTACTGCTCTGCCAAAGTGATCTATGGGGTTGGGGATAGGTGTTCATGAGATTAATGGGGATTCTGTTGATTGGCTGATTCTTTTTCATGTGCATTGCTGATTGGTTGATTTTCTTCCAAGAATGGTGAGAACACACATTTCTTTCTGTTCTTTCTTTCTTTCTTTCTTTCTTTCTTTCTTTCTTTCTTTCTTTCTTTCTTTCTTTCTTTCTTTCTTCCTTCCTTCCTTCCTTCCTTCCTTCCTTTCTCTCTTTTTTTGACACAAGTTCTCACTATGTAGCTCAGACTAACTTCAAACTAAAGATGAAGTTCTCTCAGTTTCCTGAGTGGTGTGATGTGCCACTAGGTGTGTGTACCAGTGTGTGTACGCGGAAGGTGTCAGGCCTGTAATTCTAGGACTCTGAGGTTTTAGGCAGGACTAATATGAGTTTGAGTCCAGCCTGAGCTACACAGGGATACCATGTCTCAAAACAAAACACAACAAAACAGGAAGGGGGCTTGTGAGATTGTACAGTATGTAAAGTATACCTTAATCAATCTAAGCTCAAATAAAAGCCATTTTCTTCTTTCCCTTATTCTTTAAAAACTCCTTGCCCCCAAGGGATGTGATTTTCTTTTTTTAGACTGCTGTGAAGGAATAAAATTGAAATTCCATCAGTGGACACTTGTTTGACTCACCATAGACCTTAACTGTTACTGGTTAGAACACAACTCAGAGAATGTTTCCAATATTTGTGAACAAAAGCTTCTCATATCATGCACGGTTCCAGACCAGATGCTTCTCCTTGGGGCCTTTCTGTTCTGTACATGCTGCTGCTTTAGTGATTTCTTTTGGCTTCTTGTCAACACTTGCACTGGTCTCTTCCTCTTTGCCTTCCCCTTTCGGCTTCTCCGGTGCTTTCTGCTCTTTCTCCATATGTTTATAATTGATGCCCATGCCAATGAAGAGATAGACCCCAGCAACAACTAGGATGCCACCGCATGCCCAGTACATGTATTTGTACTCTCCGTATATGTCATTTAGACGGCCTGGAGATGTGAAGAACAAAGATCTATGTGTGAAAGGAAGTGTAACTACCCTTTCCCAAACAAAGCAGAAGATCTGCTCAATCACCAATGAACTTACAAATGACAAATATGTATAAAATGGAACTGCTAAAAAGTTACCCATCTTATATGTATATACTCAATGCTTTTGAGTAGCCTTGTATATTGTTATTTTCTTTCTTTCCTCCCTCCTTCCCTCCCTCCCTCCCTCCCTTCCTTCCTTCCTCCCTTCCTTTCTTCTTCTCCCCCTCTCTTTCTTTCTTTCCTTCCTTCCTTTCTTTCTTTCTTTCTTTTCTGCCCTGGGGGTTGAACTCAGGGCCTGGGTACTGTCCCTGAGCTTTTTTTTTTTTTTTTTGTTCAAGGCTAGTACTCTACTTCCAGCTTTTTCTGTTCATGTGGTTCTGAGGAATCAAACCCAGGGCTTCATGCATGCTAGGTGAGCACTCTACCACTAACCCACATTCCCAGTCCTTGTTATTCTTTTTCTTTAGCAACTTGGAAAAATAAAAGCAGCCCTTGAAATTAGGAAGAACATAGATCATTTGTTTCAATAGATAATATTCAAATTTGGTGTTCAAAAGACATTAGGAGACTTGCTAAGGCTATTGAGCTATTCCAGCTGTCCAAGGCCAACACTTTTTTTTTTTTTGCCAGTCCTAGGCCTTGAAGTCAGGGCCTGGGCACTGTCCCTGAGCTTCTTTTGCTCAAGGCTAGTGCTCTACCACTTGAGCCACAATGCCACTTCCAGCTTTTTCTGTTTATGTGGTGCTGAGGAATTGAACCCAGGGCTTCATGCATGCGAGGGAAGCACTCTACCACTATGCCACATGCCCAACCCCCAATGTTCCTTCTTTACCAGCATTTCCCACAGACTGTTCTTGTGGATAGGCTAAGAACAGCCACACTTTCCCACCATTCTAAGCACGTAATCTTCACAACACATAGCTTCTATCATTCTCTTGTGCAGATATGAGACCTGAAAGACAGAGTCACTCAGTAACTTGTCCAAGGTCACAAAGCTGGTAGAGAACTTGCTTGGATTTAAGCCAGGAAGACTGGCTTCCGTGCCTTTTGTGAGACACTTCTCATGTTTTAAAGCCAAAGTCAAATGCTGTATCATATCCTTCTCTTCAAGGCTTTATGAGGTTGGTAGTAATGCACATTCTTTAGTTTGGTATTTCCAAATTAATGTTTTTTTTTGGCCATGAAATCCTAGTTACACAAAGTTTATTACATTTCATCAAACTACTCTGTCTAGAAATAAACTTTGGTAAACACTATTCTTTACTCAGCCAAACCAGTCTGTATGGGATATCACACTGTTTCCTAACTTACCATCACTCATCATAGTGCTTGCCATTCTCCAGTACTGGCTCTGAGGGCAAGGGTGAGCACAGGACATAATACCCCTACTTCAGCAGGAGTGTTCAGAACTACACAGAAGGAGAGCTCTTACTGGAAAATAGAGAGCTCTTAATGGAAAATGGAAAATTTGGGACTCAGAAGTGGGGTGAAGGCTTCAATTGAGTCCACTGAGTCAATTGAGCTGAGAATTGCAGGAGGATAGGGATCATTTAGAAGTGGGTAGGGAGAGGCTCCAAGCTAACAGCAAGTACAAAGGCAAAGGGGTAGGAAGAAGCATGGTGTGTAAGGGGAAGCAAAGGCTCAAGTTGTTGGACCCAAAAGCAAAGGGCTAGTGGTAGGACATAGAGCTAGAGAAGACAGATGTGGCTGGGCTCTGCAGAGTACAGCAGGTCACATGAAGGAATTTGATTTCTAGCGAAGAACAATGAGAAGCAGAGGGAGAGGTGTACGACACAGAACAGCTGGAGCCAACACAGGCAGACCAGTTAGGAAGCTACTGTTAACAGCAGTCTCAACAGCAGACAGGATTTTGACTAAGGGTGGTGGGTTGTGATGGGGAAAAATGGGCAGACTAAAGATTCAAGGGATAAAATCTGACAGGATGTGGAGACTCAGTAGCTATAGGTAGAATAGAGGGAGGAGTTTCAAAAAGTCAGTAGGGAGTGACAGCACTAGGAAGCCTTGAGCTTCTGGTTCGTTTCTTTTTTCACTCAATGCTGGTGTTCTATCATTTGAGCCATACCTCCAATTTAGGGATTTTGCTGGATAATAGGAGAATAAAGAGTCTCTTGGATTTGTCTGCCTGTATTGGCTTCAAACCAGATTTTCAGATCTCAACCTCTTGATTAGCTAGGGTTATAGGCAGGAGCCACTGGACCCTGGCAAGATGTGGGATTCTAAGAGAATAATCCTCAAGTTTTAGGGTTGCTTACGTGCTGTGGGATTTTGGGCTAGTTATTTCAATTTTAGAAGCCTATAGTTCTTCATTTATCAACTAATCAATATCACTGCTAGCTCCAAAGACCTGTGAAATGTGGCAGGTTTTATAAAGCAATTACAGCAACCTGTGGTACACTGTATTCCCTTCCCTAATAGCTATTGTGTTTTTGAACAGTTCTGAGATAAATTTCTTGATTAAAATAAAATTGCTATTTAGTACTCAGAAGGAGGCATTGTATATTGCACATTTTCTATAATAAGTATATTTGTTTTTTTTTTTTAATTTTCCTCTTAGCTTGCTAGGTAGGTCAACTTAATCTCATATTATAACTATTTGGGTGAGCATGCTGTGCCAAACACTGTGCCGACAGCATGGGGATGACATGGGGAAGACTTGCTTTTTCCACCAGATAGCTAAGGATCTCTGTCACTGTCCCCATCAGGTATACCCATTTCATGGTTAAAAAAGCCCTAGAGGTAGAGAGTCATACTATACCTAAAAGTGGTGTCCCTAAAAGGATAGGGCAGCATTGCATGATGGTCACCAAGCCCACTGCGCTGGAAAATCTCTGGGGTCCAACGAGGTCCATCAGTGTTTCAAACAATATGGAGCTGAGCCACCCAAAGGCAAAGCCAAGGAATCCCGCATAGACACAGAACCCAATGTAGCTGGAGGATAAAGGTAGTATCATATGACACATGCCATTTGCTATAACAGAAGCAGCCAAAAAATATTGGATTTTGGGTCTTACCCACTTTGTGTTGGCTACGATTCCCATAGAAGGTCTGGCTATAATATCCACAAAAGACAAAATAGAGAGAAGGAAGGCAGCCTTCTCACTAGCATAATGTTGACTCTTGGCATAACTATTAAGAAAGACTAAGGGTGCACCCAGTGCAAAAGCCATTATCATATTACCAGAGAGATACAGAACAAAGCCTCTGTGGGTGAACAGTGACAAATCCAGCACTTGGTTAACTGTCTGGAAGACTGATAGCTTCTCCTCTTCCAGGGTCACACGATGACACGTTGCATTTGCATCATCTGTATCTTTCTTTGCACAAGAATTTCCAGCTTCCTGAAGAGATTCTTTGGACCTAGTTTTCTTTGTGTGGGTTGGCTTGGGCTCTATTGGTCGCATCAGGGATCCTGCTATACAGCAGTGTAGTAGGAGGCTCCCAAGAATAAGGAAGCTTCCTCTCAAGCCAAAGATATCAAAGAGAGTCTGATTGAGAGGAGCCAGTGTAGCAAGGAGCACAGGGCTGCCTGCCATGGCCAGTCCATTGGCCAATGGTCGCTTCTTATAGAAATACTTGCCAATCATAGTCAGAGCTGGGTTCAAGTTGAATGCAAGCCCAAGACCTAGGAAAAGGGAAAAAACCACTATGTACTATAGTGAATGTGAAACATATTTGTTATTAATTAACTAGAAAATAGAAATGGAATGGAAAGAACGCAAATTATCATGATTGTGAAAGAGGTTATTGTAACTGGTAGAACACTGAGTCATTTTATAAACATTCACAGATTCTATGTCTCTTTATGTAGCACATATAAGGCTTACACTATAATGTTGAAGTAACTGTCTTCAATCTAGCAACTAGAAGATAACAATTGTGGGATCCTGTTTAATCTCATAATATTAGCTTTCCAAAGGAACATGAAACTGAGAACCAAGAAGAGAAAGAATAAGTCTCACAAACATAGAAAGATACCAAGCAAGTAAAAATATTTTTGGGTGGTACAAGCCTCCATGGGAAAGCTGGGCTAAGTGGCGAATGCTTGTCATCACAGCTTTGCAGGAAGCATAAATAGGGGATTGTGGTTCAGGTTGGCCTGAGCAAAAATCAAGAACCCAGCTCAAAAAGAATTAAGACAAAAAGGGATGGAGGTGTGGCTCAAGTGGTAGAGTTACCTGAGGCTCTGACTTCAACTCTTAGAACTGGAAAAAAAATCACTGCCATAAAGATGTACAGAGAAGTCATGGGAACACTGATTATCAATGGTAAAAAAATGTTAGCTGAATACTACAAGGCCTTCAAAGCAGAGCTCGCACCAATATTCCTCCAACTCTTGAATGAAATTGAAAGTTCACTACCAAAATCCTTCTATGAAGCCATCATAACCCTCACACTAAAACCAGGCAAGGACTCATCAAAGAAAGAGAACTATAGACCTATTTCTTTGATGAACATCGATGCAAAACTTCTCAACAAAATTTTGTCCAATCGACTTCAACAGCTCATCAAAAATATCATACGCCATGATCAAACAGGATTCATTTCAGGGATGCAAAGCTGGTTCAGTATAGGCAAATCAATTAACATAATTCATCACATCAACAAGAGCAAGGATAAGAACCATATGGTTATCTCAATAAATGCAAAAAAAGCATTTGACAAGATCAAACACCCCTTGATGATGAAAGCTCTGGAAAACCTAGGAATCCACGGAACATTCCTCAGTATAATAAAGGCGGTACATGACAAACCTACAGCCAGCATTATACTTAATGGCGAAAAGCTAAGGCCAATCCCTCTAAATTCAGGAACAAGACAAGGATGTCCACTCTCTCCACTCCTCTTCAATTTAGTATTAGAATGCCTAGCTAGAGCAATAATACAAGATGCAAACATAAAGGGGATCCAAATAGGGAAAGATGAAGTAAAACTCTCCCTCTTTGCAAATGATATGATCTTGTATTTAAAGAACCCCATGGACTCCACTCCCAAATTACTCAGGCTGATTCAAAATTTTGGCAAAGTAGCAGGATACAAAATTAACCCTTAAAAATCAATGGCTTTCCTGTATGCTAATAATGAAAAGAGCGTGGCTGAAATCAGTAAAGCATTTCCTTTTGTAATAGCCCCACAAAAAATAAAATACCTAGGAGTTAACTAAAGAAGTGAAGGACCTCTATGATGAAAACTTTAAAAACCTGAAAAAGGAAATTAAGCAGAACTAAGGAAGTGGAAAAACCTCCTGTGCTCCTGGATTGGGAGGATTAACATCGTGAAAATGTCAATACTTCCCAAGGCTATCTACAAATTCAATGCAATACCCATCAATATCCCAACCTCATTCTTCAAGGGAACAGAAGAGACACTCCAAAAATTCATATGGAACAATAAAAGACTACGAACAGCAAAAACTATCCTTAGCAAAAAGAACAGTGCTGGAGGAATATCAATACCAAACTTCAAACTCTACTAATCAAAACAGTTGGTACTGGCACAAGAACAGACCTGAGGACAAATGGAATAGAACTGAAGACCCAGAAATAAACCCTCAGACCTATAGCCACCTAATCTTCCATAAGGGAGCTAAAATAATAGAATGGAAGAAAGACTCTTCAGTAAGTGGTGCTGGCAAAATTGGTTAAACACCTGTAGAAAACTAACGCTAGATCTTTATATATCACCCTGCACCAGAATCAACTCCAAATAGATCAAAGACCTCAGAATCAAAGCAGATACCCTGAAAACATTACAGGAAGGAATAGGAGAAGTCCTAGTGCTCCTTGGCACAGGCCAAAATTTTCTTTATAAAGACCCAGAAACACAACAAATGAAAGAAAGGTTGGACAAATAGGATTGCATGAAGCTGCAGAGCTTCTGCGTGGCAAAAGACATAGCTAGCAAGATCAATAGAAAGCCCACAGATTAGGAGAAGATCTTCACTAGCCATACAACGGACAAGGGTCTCATATCTAAAATATATTTAGAACTCAAAAAAATTAAATCCCCCAACAACAAATCCTCAAAGAAACGACAACCTCATTAATAAGTGGGCTAAAGATTTAAAGAGAGACTTCCCTGAAAATGAAATAAGAATGGCCAATAGACACATGAAGAAATGCTCAACTTCTTTAGTCCTAAAAGAAATGCAGCTTAAAACAACATTGAGATTCCACCTCACCCAATTAGAATGGCTAGAATCAAGAAATCTAATAACAACAGATGCTGGAGGGGATGTGGCTAAAAGGGAACCCTACTGCATTGTTGGTGGGAATACAAACTTGTTCAACCACTTTGGAAAGCAGTATGGAGGTTCCTCAAAAGACTATACATAGAGCTCCCCTATGATCCAGCAATCCCCCTTTTAGGCATTTACTTAAATGATCACAAACAAGGCCATACTAAAGCTACCAGCACAACTATGTGTATCGCAGCATTATTTACCATAGCTAAGATATGGAACCAACCCGGATGCCCCTTAGTAGATGAATGGATCAAGAAAATGTGATATATATATATATATATTTATAAAATGGAATTCTATGCCTCCATAAGAAAGAATGACACCACCCCATTTGTTAGGAAATGGAAAGACTTGGAAAAAAATCATATTAAGTAAAGTAAGCCAGGCCCAAAGAAACATAGGTCCCATGGTTTCCCTTATCTACAATAACTAGTATATGTCTAGGACAAGCAGAAGAGGTCAAAAGCTATGTACATATAACCATATAACCAGATACTAAGTGAAATGAACCCCAAGATAGGGACACAAGAGGTTTAATTTTTGTTGCTGTTCTTTTTAATGTACTTATAATATACTATGTGATTTTTTTTTGTTTCTTTGAATGTTCTTTCCCCATGGTACAACTTCTGTTGTCACTGTATTTGATTCCGGTGTCCTTCATCTTGTATATACATTTTTCTAATTTGGGAAGGGGAAGGGAAATAACAAAATGCTGAAATAAGGATACAGGATGACCCATTGTAACAAGACACTATTTTGAAGACGAACTTTACAACTTTGCAGGGTGAGGGTGGATGGGAGATGGGAGGGAAAGTTGGGGAGGTGGGGAGGAAAGGGATGATAGGGGAAAAATAAAGGAGAGTGTAACAATGTTTGATAGGAAATGTACTCATTACCTTGCTCATGTAACTGTAACCCCTTGTACAGTATCTTCACAATAAAAAATATATATTAAGAGAAAAAAATTAGTAAAAAATGTGAAAAATCTCTACATGTACATCCATCAGAGAATGGTAAAATAAATTATAGTATTTATTCAATGTATCTTTACTGAGATAGGAAATTATGTGCATGATGTATAAAGTTAAAAAAATTGGTAACAGGTTAGGAGTGTAACTCAGTGGTAGAGCACATGCTTAGCATGTACAAAGCCCTAAGTGAAACCTAAACCCCAAAGCTATTACAACATAACATGTAACTTCATCTTCTTTTTGTTTGAAAATAATTATGTGTGCATGTGTGTGTGCTGTGTGTGTGCATAGGAAGATGTATGAGCAGATATGGCATAAAATAGGAAATGGTCAAATGGTCTTTCTTTTTATTGGTGGTTTACTTGGAATTATAGAAGTATGAATGATGTGTATTTTTATATTATTTGTAGTTCCTCCTCCTTCTCCTCCTCCATACCTCGTCCTCTTCTTCCTCTTTTTTCTTCTGCTGGTACAGGGACTGAGGAATGAACTCAGGGCTTCATGCTTTTGCTTAGTATTTTTAGCTCAAGACTCGTGCTCTACCACTTGAGCCACACCTCCACTTCCTGTTTTCTAGTTAACTGGAAGAGTCTCATGAGCTTTTCTGCCTGGGCTAGTTTTGAACCATGATCCTTAGTCTCCTGAGTAGCTAGAATTACTAGCATAACAAGAGCCACTGGCTTCCAGCTTCAGCTTTGTCTTGTCATTTGTGACCTTCACACTGGGAGGGATACCCAGTGCTTGGGCTCATTTTTTAAAGTTAGTTACTCAAAAGGAGAGCAATTGATGGGGATGTGGCTCAAGTGGTAGAATGCTTGCCTAGAATGATCTAGAAGGCCTTGAGTTTACTCCCCCAGTACTTAAAACAAGAAGGCAGGGGAAGGAAGTTCTCAGGTGTGCCCTTCACTCTGAAAATACATCTGGCTTCTTTACCACAAAATTTGGCACCATCTCTCCAAGTCCAAATGGAGCCAATTTTCAAGGAAAATTTTATGCTGAGTGGGAATAAGTCACTGGACCATACTCTATACCTATCACTATTACCTTTTTTAAGGGAAAGAAAGAAAGACAGGGAGGGGAGGAGAGAGGAGGAAAAGACAAGAAGGGGAAGACAAAAAATTTTAACTTGTTTATTTAACAAATAAAGGTATTGCATTTAAAAGCTTGCTTTTACATTATTCTTAATCTATCCAAACTCTTAAAAAACACTCAGTATATTTTCTAATGCATCTCAAAAGAATAGGCAGATAAATGCTGCACTAGTCCACAAAGTAATGAGTGTGTGAAAATGAATCAGTAGCAGCTTACCTCCAATGACTCCAATACACAAGTAAAGTTTCTGTACAGTGTTACAGAAAGAAGCCACAATGAGGCCACAGCTCGACAAGCAACCACCAGCAATCATGACTGGGCGGCTGCCATACTTATTCACCAGGATACTACTGATAGGACCTAGGAGAGAACGAACAACTTGGTGGTACACAGAAGACATGTTCACACAAGCATTACTAATGAGAAAGGTATCAGGATCAAATCCCCCATAACAATCAGAAAACAAAACAAAACACTGTAAGGAATACTGCTTTCTATCATTATTTTGGAGTTACCAGTTTGTATAGTAGAAAAAAACAGATTTATCTTCTATACATCTATATTAGATGTATAAAAGTATATATAAGCATATATATTATATATATATATGAAAAACTTCAAACTAAATTAGAACAGGCTGCAATTCTATGATTATAAATATCCATAGGCTTCTTCATACATCTAGATTATTACCAAAGTATGTAGCAAGTTTGCTGTTATTTTGTTTCAACAAATCTGATCCAACTTCTACCTTCAGAACATATTTAAAAACTAGCTAAAATATGTTTTGTTTCTTATAGAAGACAACAATAACAAACCAACATAAAATTACAAAACAAGAATGCCTACCATCACCTCTTTTCTTCAATATTAAACTTGAAGTCCGAGCCATCGCAGTAATACAGAGGGGAAAAAGGTATAAGGAAAGGAAGAAACCAAACTATCAGTATTTGCAGAAGTTACTGTGTATATCTAAAATTTTTGATAGAAGCTACCAATGAACAAAGAAGAGCCTAGAGTAAGATTACCAGATACACAATTAAAATTTAGGGAAATAAATCAATCACATTTCTATATGCCAGCAAAAGCAGAAAACAAGGGCCTCATGCATACTAAGCAAACATTCTGAGCCATATCCTCAGGCTAAAAAAACATTTTAAAGAAAGTTATCTTTATGGGTTTGTTTGCTTAAGAGACAGGTTTCTCTCTGTACTCCAGCTGACCTTGAACTTGTGGTCCTAATACCTCAGCTTACTGAGTGCTGGGATTACAGGCATGAACCAATATATCTGTTAAAAATTATTTTTCCAAATACTTGTTTTATAATGTTATGATTGCCCTAAGAGAGCACACAGATGCCATGTAGTTTTGCTGATAAGAAAAATTTTAAAATGGTTCTTGGTATATAGTGTTAACACTCTGTACGAACTCACATTGTGAATATTTTACTAATAAAATCATCGGGAACAGAGACTACCTGACATAGAACTTTGGTCTTCCTTCTGAACATTCAAACAAGTAAGGAGCACTTACCTCCAGCATACATGACAGCAAACATGATGGAGGAAATCCAGGATACGTCACTGGTGCTGGCATTGAATATACCTTCAATTTCTTTGTAAAAGATAGAAACAGATTTTCCAAATGCACAAGAGAAGCCAATAGAAATGAAAGCACCAACTACCACTGCCCAACCCCAGCCTCCATCTGGGGGTGTATATCCAATTGGACCTCCATCTGAAGATGACATCTTATGTGAAGATGGATTTAAAAAATGCGGCTTAACTCCAACTATCTGAAGGACAGAAATGAAAACAGTACGTAAGACGTAGGTCAGTAACAAAGCACTCTGGCAGAACTTCTAACACCTATGTTACAAATAACTAAATTGTTTCTCAGTGTTGCATGTCCTCCTTGAACCTAGCAGGAAAACAAAGAAGCAGAATACTGCCCTCAAATTTCAAATGCTTAAAGTCAGAAACTCACCAACATTTGAACTGAATGCCAAAAAAATTTCCAGTAAATGCAGTATTTGCCTTTAACTTTAAAATCATATCTGTTTCAATAATTAATATCTACATTACTGAAGATAACCAAATTCCTCTTTGGAACTACTTGTGCAACTTAATATACACTCCCTAAGAGTTTTAGAACTTGCTATTTTTTTTCTCCTTTTCTCAAATTTATGCTCCAAAATACTTACATAGTTTTAATTTTCTGGTTTTTTTAGGCTGCCTTGAAAAACCAGGAGTGACTTTTTTTTTTTTTTTTGCCTGTCTTAGGGCTTGAACTCAGGCACTGTCCCTGAGCTTTTGTGCTCAAGCCTGGTGCTCTACCACTTTGAGCCACACAGCACCGTTTCCAACACAATTTGTTTTTAAGTTCACTGGACTCAAAGCAATTTACAATTCAAAAGATCACTTCTAAATGCAAGATTTTTGTTTAGTGGAGTGGAAAATAATCTCAGGAAAATTATGCTTAGATGTCAGTGTTTTTCCTATGATGAGACTAGATATATTCCTAAACAATAGCTGGCAGCTACAGTTAAGAAATCAATCTTACCCAGATGCCAGTGGCTAATACCTGTGATCCTATTCACTTAGGGAGGCTGAGACATTGAGGAGATTCAAAGAGAGGCTGGGCAGAAAGACCACGAGGCTCCAGCTCTAATAAATCAGCAACGGCTGGGTGTGTCTTAAATGGGAAAATGTCAACCTCAACAGCCAGAGCACAAGAAGCCCCAAGTTCAAGCTCAGGTTTAAAAAGCAACAAAAAAGGTAAACCTTAACTTTAGAAGCTGGTAGTTTTAAATAAAATGTTTCCCTACAAAAAGAAATGCATTCTTTACGTGACTTATTTAACTGCAACTCCTTTGTACATAACCTTTATAATAACAATAAAACATTAAAAAAAGATTTCCCTTTTCCTTTTGTTATCCAGTACTAGCAGACAGAAGAATTAGTAAAGGAAATACATTGTAAAATTTGAATTAGTAGCAGGTCGGAGAGGCTGGGAACAGCATTACTAGCATTCTTTTGAGCAATTTACCCTCTCCTTTGGTTTACTTTGGTTTACCAGTGTCAAAGTTATAATAAGTTTGTAAGTAGAAACTATTAGGAAGAGGACAGAAAGAGGGGGTGAATATGATCAAAGTCCTTCATATGCATGTGTGATAATAGAATGAATATCCACCCCTTAAAAATTGTTTGGAAAAGAAAGGGAGATAAGAAACAGTAACAGAGGAGATGAATCTGACCACATCATATTCATGTAAGGATATATCACAATGAAACTCCTTTGTATAATTAATGTACACTAATATATTAAAATTTATGTCAAAATTAACAATGTATCCTGATGCTACCATGACCGTTTTGGTTACCTGGCATGGGTGTAATACAATATCAATATGATTTAGGTCAAATGACTCACTTTTTACCAATGTATGTCTTAGTCTATAAAAATCCTCGTTTCCTGGAACTAAAGGTGTGGCTCAAGTGGTAAAGTGCCAACTGTGAAAATTTCAGTATCCTAGCTATAGAAGTCAACTTTAAATAATTAACATGCTCATCAACATAAAGGCTTTAAACATAATTTACAGAATGATATTACAGTAATAGAAAGAAAACAAGTCTTTTCTTGTGCTTGTTTGTTGGTTTCTCTATTATTTCATTTTGCAGGGGGAGGGGGAAAGGGGGAAGGAAGGAGGTGTTCCTGGCATAATGCCATTTAGAAAACAAGTCTTAAGAGTAGTTCTACTAAAGAAGATGAAAGGCCTTTATAAGGTTTTTTAAAGTAAGACTTTAATGGAAATAAAGTCTCTAAAAATATTATAAAATTGGAAAATGCCCAGGGTTTGCACAACTTTTGTCTTTTATTAAGTTTTATTTTTGTTGCTCTTGTTAATAATTAAAAAATCATCTTTCTCTGTAGTTTTTTAGTATAATAAAAAATTGTATATAGCGGGTGCTGGTGGCTTACACCTGTAATCTTAGTTACTCAGGAGGCTGAGATATGAGGATAGCGGTTCAAAGCCAGCCTTGGAAAGAAAATCCATGAGACTCCTATCTCCAATTAATCTCTAGTGGGAAAACTGGAAGTGGCACTGTGACTCAAGTGGTAGAGCGCTCACCTTGGGCTGAAGAGTTCAGGGACAGCACCAAGGCCCAGAGTTCAAGCTCCATGAGTGACAAAAAAATTGTACAAGCATCATAATTTAATTTCAGTTGAAGTTTCTAATAATTCTTATTAAATTGTCTATTTTCCCTTTAATTTCATCAGTTAGTTTGTTTTGGTGCCATTCCTGGGCTTGATCTCAGGGCCTGGGCATTGTCCCTGAGCTTTTTTGCTCAAGACTAGTGCTGTACCACTTGATACCCACCTCTACTTCTAGTTTTTGGTGGTTAATTAGAGGTAAGAGTCTCACGAACTTTCCTGGCCAGGCAAGTTTGGAACTACAATCCTCAGATCTTGGCCTCCTGAGTAGCTAGCATGAACTATTAGGGCCCAGCCAGAGCTTTTTTTTTCTTTTCTTTTTTCCAAAGGGAGAAGATGAAAACTCTTAGATTGCTGGGTTGATGATTGTAATTGTGATCTTACATATTGGGTATAGTACTAGTAAGCAAAATTACTGAAAATGAACATTAATTTACAAGATGGATAGCATTTGGATAGCATTGCTTAATGCTATCCTGGTGGACGCGTCTATATTACTACATCATTTCATTTAAACAAATTTAGGCTGTGTAGCACAGTGAGTGGTAGCAGGCACACATGGGGTTTCAGGTTTGGTCGGCATTGCCCCAAAGAACAAAAACAAAAAGAAAAGATAAAATATAAATGCATAGCTTATTAAGTAAAAAAATATGGTCTTCAGTTGTTAAACATACCATTTAAATATTAGCTATGCTTCACCATCATAATTAAATTCATAGTATATATTAAACAAGGACTGAGACCTTTTCCCCAAAAGCTTGAGAGGCTCCTGGCCTTTTCCCTAAGTCTCCTCAGCATTTCTTGGCTGGAGAAACAAGACTAAGCTATGACCAGGAGAAACTCCTCTGGAATTGTCCTATTTGCAGGAACCTAGAATCCATCAGAGGGCTTGTAGTTCTCTGGCGATTTGGAACTCACAGTCTAGAAAGCAACACTTCAACCCTTTCTCCCCAATTTAGAAGTTATTTAGAACTTATCTAGTAGCTGCTATAGCCCAGAAATGAACAAGGGATCACTACTGTTCTAGGGCACGAGAGCAATTAAAGATTCATCTCCTTTAGCAATTATTTCAATTATTTATCAAAATGGCAAGAACAAAAACAAAAACAAAACCCTACCAAAAAAACCCATGCCAGGTGTCAGAGCCATTTCATAAAGTCTCCTCAACTCTGTCAAAGCGCACATCTTTGGTGACGGTTTCTGCAGGCACTGCTTAGTTCTGATGTAGAAGCTCAGTTTCTGTTTTCATCTCTGGTTTTGTTCTGAAAAGTGTTTTCTCATATTATTCATTCATTGGGGACTTTTTAATAGAGTTAACAAGTTAATTTTCTTTTTCTAAACTATGTAAGATTTACTTTTGGTGTCAAGGAGAAAAAACAGTATCAGCAAAATGGTGGGTGAGCTCAGTCAGTGGGCTAAAACCAAGCCAGGCTGGGGTTGGGCCATCTCTGTAGGGCAGGAGTGTTCTATCTCCTCTCCAGTACCAAGCAACCAGCTGCTCATTTTTTTTCTCTAAATAATAAAGAACACTGGAAACTGTTTGGAAAATACAACAATATAGATGTCCCTAGGCATGACTATAAAGTCAGGGCTGTATATTGAACCAATTACACAAATGGTTATGGGTTTGGCTAATTTCATAAATTACATGGAAGGAGTGATTATGAAGATATTTGATCATAAGAATCTGTATCTGAGGGGCTGGGAAGGTGGCTCAGTGGTAGAGCGCTTGCCTTGCATGCCTGAGGGCCTGGGTTCGATTCCTCAGTACCACATAAGCAAAAAGAAAAAAGCCGGAAGTGGCGCTGTGGCTCAAGTGGTAGAGCGCTAGCTAGACTTGAGCTGAAGAGCTGAGGGAAAGTGCCCAGGTCCAGAGTTCAGGCTCCACGACCGGACCCCCGGCCCAAAAAAAGAATCTGTATCTGAGAGAGTGATGGAGGGTGTGAACGTAATCATTGTACATTGTATGCAAATATAAAAGTAAAATAATGAAACCATTAAAATTGTGAAATAAATAAAAGGATAAGGAAATGTAGTAGAGGGGGTGAATATGATCAAAATATACTACATATATGTATGAAAAATGTCACAGTGAAACCCCTTTATTTAGTTAATATATGTTAAAGAAAAAGAAGAAAATGGACTTGTATATGCCATACTTTGCAGACATTAAAAGGATGACAGAAAATATAATGGTAAGCTGGGTGTTGGTGGCTCATACCTGTAATCTTAGCTACTCAGGAGGCTGAGATCTAAGGATTATGGTTCAAAGCCAGCCAGGGCAGGAAAGTCAAATAACCACCAGAAAACCGGAAGTGGTGCTGTAGATTAAGTGGTAGAGCACTAGCCTTGAGCTGAAGAACTCAGAGACAGTGCCCAGGCCCAGAGTTTAAGTCACACAATTGACATATATGTCTATATATATCTATATATGTATATACGTATCATATATATAATTGTATCATATTTATCTGATGACACAGAAAGGTCTTCCCGTGGGAATTCTTTATGGAGTAAAAGTGTATGAAATTGGCA